GGAATAGAAACGAAAGACAGTGACCACTGATAGATGGGGAATGGGGGAAGTTGCAGGCTAAGGAAGATGAACGATGTAGAGGTGTAGTATGAAGTTAGACATAAATGTGGGTAGGGCTGCATTGCTTCCTCCTTGGTATAGAACCATTTGGACATCATTCTTCATATTGCCTGTTCTGATCCTTTCAAATGAGAAGAAATTATGAAATTACTTGGCTTTTTAACAATAATAAGCTGCTAATGTGTTCATTCAACAGAAATCTACTGATGCCCTAATATGTGCCAGTATATAGGCATAGCGTAACACACAAAACAGACAGGGAACTTACAGTTTGATTAGGAGGGTTAGAAATTAATAAATGCATAAATAGCTACGTATTTCAAGAAGTGCCATGAAAGAAAGAGAGCAAGAGAGCATGAGAGAACAAAGTAAGGATGAATTCTATAGATCTGGAATCAGGAGGTGATACTCTGTGTGGGAGCTAAAAATTTACAACCTTATTATGAAGCTGTTGCCCAACTTGTTCAATCAATCTGATGTAATGCTCAGAAATATTTTGGTTTGGAACCTTCCAATATTGTAATTCCCTTTACAGGAAAACAATTAGATTGGTTGTTTCAGAATTGTGATTTTTGGGCTATTGCATTTGCACATTTTTCAGGTCAAATTAAATTTCATTATCCACCTAATAAATTGTTACAATTTGCAAATCTTCAATCTTTTATTTTTCCAAAAATTATTTCATTTAAGCCTATACCTGATGCCATTGTTATTTTCACTGATGGGTCTTCTAGTGGAAAAGCAGTTTATGTTATTGATGGTCATGAAAAGGTTTTTTCCACACCCGCTGCTTTGGCACAAGTAGTTGAATTGCGTGCCATTCTTTTTGTTTTTCAGGAATTTGCTCATGTTTCTTTTAATCTATATACTGATAGTCAATATCTGGCTAAAGCCCTTCCTTTTTTAGAAACTGTGGCCTGTATTAATACCAGTAATTTAGAAGTTCAACAACTTTTCATTCAAGTACAAAACTGTATTCATGCTTGTTCTCTTCCTTGTTTTATTGGACATATTCGAGCTCATACTGTTTTACCTGGTCCATTGTCTTTGGGAAATCATCTTGCTGATGTTTCCACAAAATTTATTGCATTTTCAAAAATTGATTTAGCTCGTCAATCTCATCAACTCCATCACCAGAATAGTCGTACTCTGATATGAATTTCAAATTCCTTGAGAAGCTGCCCGACAAATTGTTAAACAGTACTCCACTTGCCCTCAGTTTTCTTCTGTTCTGCATTATGGTGTTAATCCTCAAGGTTTGCTTCCTAATCAACTATGGCAAATGGATGTTACTCATGTAATGGAGTTTGGAAAACAAAGGTATGTACATGTTGTTGATACCTTTTCAGGAATATTCTTGCTTCAGCTCAAACAGGAGAAGCTACTAAACATATTATTGCTCACTGTATATATTG